GTCAAAGACTACAACACAACAATAAAGCACAAGCCACAAACCTTTTCCTTCATCCAGGTTTCGAACTCGTTGCATTCGCTGAAGAAGTGGAACAGCTTGATAGCGTCCTCCAGGCTGATCTTTCTGGCCTGAAACGACCAAATATTATTTTTTTAAATTACACTTTCATTTGTCCTGGAAGGGCACTGTAGTTTTAATCAGAGTATTACGGCATTTGCAACGCAATAAGGTCACATAAGTGCCGAAGATTAGAGGTGTTACAAGAGAGTAACACACATAAAAAAGAAGGAGGAGAGATCAGGACGACAGTTGTTTGATAGGAAAGAAGGAGCAAACCACACCAAAGCACCCTCCAACCACCTTCGAAGGGCACTTTATTTTACAATGACAGACTTACATTTACATAGGCCCTACATAAGTACATAATTATAAATACGCACATACATTTATGCCTACATAAATACATACATAAATACAAAATATTACACAAATACAAAACAGTTTACAACCAAACCACTGTCGGTCGCCACTGTGCAGCGCCCTGTATTTTGAGCCAGGGATGTCGTGACTTCCTCAAGGAAAAAAAACAGAATCCCATAGATTTTGTTCATAGAGTGTTCTGTTTACAAGTTATAGAGTTACCAATTGCCATTACGGTGGTGAATAATGTAACCTGCGAGCTAAAAGGTAAAACTGTTGTTTGACCTAATTTGGTGGACAAGGGAAACTATCAGACCCGCGCACTTTTTTACGATATCGATACAAATAAACTGTCGATTCCATCCAACGGTTACAGTCCCCTTGACAAAACTACTCTGTGCAGCCACCCATCCAGATATCATTATATTCGTTTTTCTGCAGGCGTCAAGCGACTTCGAGACCATTTTAAAGCGGAAAGTAAAAACACAGACCAAACAGAAAGGCACTACCAAGAAAGGAGAGAATGTATAACAAGCAAATGTACGCAGAAGGACAAATCTCAATTTTTATCCTGAATGAGCAAGAAAATGCTGCCCCAACACTTTCAAGACCGCCCCTGTCCTGTAAATATGTATTTATACCTGAAAAGCCTAGTCATTCAATTCAAAATCTAAAATTAATATCTGGTCCCAAGCCCAGTAAAATAATGAGGGTATTTAACTTGTTGGAAGGTACTGGTTTTGGCAATCGACAATCTAATTGTATCATCATCATCATCCAGTGCCAGATCTGCGACAGACATCGGCGATCATGGTTTTCCATTCATTCCTTTGCTCGGGTGCTCTCAAAAAAGCTACGTTTCCCTGATCTTTCCCTGTTACCCATTTGTTCAGGTTCCCTAAGTATGTTGTTCTGGGCCTACCCCTGCCTCGCTCGCCCTCAATTTTGCCAGTGAGAGCTAGATGTTCAAGACCCTTATGTCTATTCGGGTGTCCCAAAAACTGCATTTATCGTTTCCTGGTTGTTTTTAATATTGAGCGTCCCACGTGGGCTTCATCAAGCACTATCTCGTTTGATTTCTTTTCCTTCCACGATACTCTTAGCAGTCTCCTAAAAAATCACATTTCTGTTGCTTCTATTTTATTTTCACTGTCTTTAGTGATTGTCCAGCATTCACAGCCATATAGAAGGGTTGACCAAACATAGCATTTCAGAACTTTCATTTTGGTGTTCATTGAGATGTTTCTATTGTATATCATCATCCGGTGCCTTGCCGACTGGCGTGGGCGACCATGGACCTCCACTTCACCCTGTCCTTCGCTGCAGCAATGGTGTCTGTTGTTCTTGCTGCTCCCAACCATGGTGTTATCTTGTCCAGTATCTTTTCCCTCTGTCTGCCTCTGCCTCTCTTTCCATCAAACTTTCCTGTTGTGACAATATTCTCTAATGCTTCTTTCCGCATTGTGTGTCCGAAGAAATTTGCCTGTCGTTTTCTTATATTCGTGATAATTTGTTTTCTATAATTTGCTTCAACCAGGACTTCATCGTTTGTTTTTCTAGCTGTCCATGGGATACGTAGCATGCGTCTTATGAACCACAACTCTGTCGCTACAATTGTTCTTTCCAGCTGTTTATTGATTGTCCACGTTTCGCACCCGTATAATAGGATTGGCTCGATGTAACTTTTCAGTACTCTTTTCCTCGTTTCCAGTGACAGATTGATGTTTGTTAGTATCTGTTTCATCTTGTGGAAGGTTGTTTTTGCTTGGCTTTGATATTTTTTCTCGGAAGTGCGCGGCACAGATAAGCGTCCAACAATGACGATAATGTAACAGCAATTAGTAACATGAACCCTAAAGACTTGAAGTGAGCGAGCCACCAGGCGTACGGAAAAAGCTATTTGTGAGACAGCGTGGTGGAATCAGGCTCTCTTCAAAATAATCAAAGTGGACAAACTTGCATTTTTCCGCAGGTTTGTGAATTTGTATCGAATTTTTGGTTTTTTGGCTCAACACCTTTAATGCCCGTTAAAGAACTCAGTTCTGAGTGGGATTGACTGAAAAACGTTGATTGAAGGCACAAAGAATATGAATTTTCAGTTACCATGGACTCTTAAGCTCAGGAAGTAACTAACCTTTGGTGGCCATCTTCTCACTAATTTTACCTCTGAAGCCAGGTGACCCCACCGCCTTCATTTGCCAAATATCTCGACCTGTATTCCAGATAAATGGATATTTTTTTTCAACCAAATACGGACAAGTAAACAAGCTTTAAGATGATACCAATAACTCTACATGCCCAAAAATTGACGAGAGCCTGATTCCACCGTGTTGTGACACATTTCGCGGCAAGTAACCTAAAACCGTTGGAAACGTCTGACCTGAGAGTCATAATGTATGGGTTGGGTTTCAAGCCCCTTTCGACACTGCTGGACCCGCGCTTCACTCAGGCATTTCCGAAAGGACATACTCAAGAAGGTGGAGAGTTATGGGAATTCCCCATTAGAGCTGGGCGGCTAGGTTCCAGACTGTTGAAAGCAAAGAGTCTACATAACAAAAGTGGCCACTTCTCTCTTTGAGCCAATTAAAAAAGTGTCCTCAAAATTCGGTGGCGCCCTCTTCGCAAAAGCGCACCTTTAGCGAACAGAGTTACCCTACTTGAGTTTAAAAAATCAAAGTGAAACTAGCAAGTTTTTGAATTAATTTCGAAAGAACGCTTTTTTAAAATGGTTACGCTGACAAAAAACCTCTTCCGGAGGGAAGGGTGATTGTTTTCTTCGTTTAATTTGACTTTAGAATGAAAGGCGAGAGGTCATTAAAATTTTTTAAAAACTAAAACTCCGAACTGAACGAACCCGAACTGCTGATGAACAGCAGTCGATCTGCGCACGCAAGGAGGTGCTATTCCTATTCTTCTTCTGGAAAAACGAAAGAGAGCTTCAAAACAGACTGCAGCGCCATCTGAAGCAAAGAGCATACTTCCTGCGGACACTTTTTTGGCTGAGTGGCCCATCTTGTTATTTACTATCTTTGTTGAAAGCTAGGAATCGTAGGATTCGACTCCAAACCCAATTACTTACTTTCTAATGATGTGATTTTTTTCCGGTGGTTACCTGGTTGGCTCCGAACATGTTCAGGATTTAGGACACCCTTGATTTCGGAACACTACGACGCATCAACTAATTGTATCGTTCAAAAATACTTTTTTTTTTCAATAAGAAGATTCTAATTATTAAAATATCTGGTAACCGTTGGTTTACATAACAAGGAGTCGGAACTTTTCTTCCGCAGCATTAATCGTGGGAATCAGTTCGGAATCGATCGTTCGCCCAGCTCTATTCCCCATGGTGGTTAGGCCCTCTTCATAAATGGATGTCTAAGAAGGATAGGGGGGGGGGGATCAAGTGGTACGACCGAGTCACAAATGCTCAACTGTGGAAAAGAACAAGCCAAAGGTCAGTACAGGATGACATACAGGTGAAGAAATGGAAATGGATTGGGCACACCCTGAGGAGACCCCCGACAAGCATCATCAGACAGGTTTTGACGTGGAATCCAGAAGAAAAACGTAAAAAAAGAAGACCAAAGACGACATGGAGGCGAGCGGTACAAGCGGAAATGGAAAAGGCGAAGACATCATGGAAACAGCTAGAAAATGATGCATAGGACAGGCTTCAGATGGAGAAATGTTATAGATGGCCTATGCTCCACTGGGAGTTAAAAGGGGCAAGAGAGAGAGAGAGAGAGAGAGAGAGAGAGAGAGAGGGGGGGAGAGAGAGAGATAGGGGGGAGGAAGAGAGAGAGGGAGAGAGAGAGTAAGAGAGAGAGTGAGTGTGTAAGAGAGTAAGAGAGAGAGAGAGAGAGAGAGAGAGAGAGAGAGAGAGAGAGAGAGACAGAGAGAGAGAGACAGACAGACAGAGACAGAGACAGAGACAGAGACAGAGACAGAGATAGAGACAGAGAGACAGACAGGCAGGCAGACAGACAGACAGACAGACAGACAGACAGACAGACAGACAGACAGACAGACAGACAGACAGACAGACAGACAGACAGACAGACAGACAGACAGACAGACAGGCAGGCAGATAGACAGACAGACAGAGACAAAGAGAGAGGAGAGGGGGGGGGGGGGGAGAGAAATAGAAAACCAGACCGACCTGTGAGCGCAAGATGACAAAAAAATAATAAATGGTGAAATGGTATAGGCAGACAGACAGACAGACAGACAGAGACAGGGGGAGAGGGGGAGGGGGGAGGGGGAGGGGGAGAGAGAGAAAGAAATAAAAAAGCAGACCGACCTGAGAGAGTTTGACCAGCTTAGAGTACTGCGTGGTGAGGCCTCTCTGCCTTGACTCCACGTTGTCCTTGTCGAAGTGAAGGTTGGACTTGGACCGCACTGGGGGAACACACACACAAACACATCACATCACACGTCATGATACCGACCGCCTTTATTATCTTATTATAGTAGTGGGTTTTACGGCGCTCACAACTGCTTAAGGTCATATGAGCGCCTAAGGGTGGGTGTAAACAGAGAAGTCTTTACAGGGAATCAGACTAACTCTGCTCACCTCTCTAGCTTCAACAGCACAAGATTCGCTTCGACTATCAAGGCACCCCGGAAATAGAAGGTCACAAGAGAGTGACAAACATACAAAAGAAGTAGAGGAAAATGACAATAGTAAGGATTAGGAAAGAAAAAGCAGCAGTTCCCAGTTGTAGATCAGGCACAGTAATGAGCGTGACATAAATCAGCCCATTTACAATTCTACTGTGCTTGAACGAGAAAGGTTTCTGCATTGGGAATGGCCTAAAGACACTTCAGTCAGTGGCACTTGGGGGGGTGGGGTGCCTTTAGTTTAGTTTCAGTTTTAGTAAAAGTGTGCCGAAGTTTAGAGGTGTTACAAGGGAATGACAAACATAAAAAAGAAGGAGAGATAAAGACGATAGGTGTTTGATAGGAAAGAAGGGGTAAACCACACCAGAGCACCCGCCAATCACCCACAGTAAAAGTTTTACGGCACTTGCAGCATTATAAAGTCTTATAAGCGCCGAAGATTAGAGGTGTAACAAACACAAAAAAGGAGGAGGGGGGGGGGGGAGATAGAGACGATAGATTTTTTCATAGGAAAGAAGGGGCAAACCACACCAGAGCACCCGCCAACCGCCCACAGTTTAATTTAGGTAAGAGTTTTACGGCGCTCGCAACTGCATAAGGTCATAACATGAGCGCAAAGTTCACAGCGCGGCTTGGTTCGGGTCAACGATCAATATACCGCTTTGATCAACTGTCGTTTATACGGTGATCCATGTCCCCATTATAAAACTGAAGGAGAAATCATGCAGTTTCTCAGGAGATTTTTTAGAAGGAATAGAAGTCAAATGAAAGAGCTCTGACAGAAGCCCTACCCTCTATTTCCCCTCTATTTCCGCTTCCCCCTCCAAACCACTAAAATATTCCCCACAATATTGAGAGCGACATAAAGACTGTGGAAAACAATCATTATCAACTCGTCGCTATCGCCAGGCCAACAACAGGAAGTGACATATGGCGTGGTCAAGGTATGACCATGGACATTTCTGCGTGTGTATGTGCACCTGAGTGTATGTGTTTGTGAGAGAGAGGGAGAGAGACAGATATGGAGAAAGAGAGAGAGAGAGAGAGAGAGAGAGAGAGAGAGGCAGAGGCAGAGACAGAGACAGAGACAGAGGCAGAAAGCGAGGCAGAGAAAGAGAGGCATACAGAGAGAGAAAAAGAGGCATACAGAGAGAGAAAAAGAGGCATACAGAGAGAGAAAGAGAGGCATACAGAGAGAGAAAGAGAGGGGGGGGGCGGGAGAGACAGACAGACAGACAGATATACAGACAGAAAACCACACACAACCCCACAACATACCAGAAGGCGCACGCCTCAAAGAAGACCGGCTCTTCTTCTTCTTCACCACTTCTTTCTTCATCACAATCTTCTTGACCTTGACCTTCTCGGGGACCTTGACAGGCTGCTTGATGACCTTCTGCACGACCTTGGGCTCCACCTCTTTAACGTAGTTGGCGGGCACAAAGCCCTCGGTGGCGTCCGCCTTCCTCACCTGCCACCAGTCTCCGTTGGTTCTCTGAAGTAGGATCATCACCTGCAGAAAAAAAATGAAATGGTACAGGTTTTTAAAAAAGTTTTAGTAGTAGTAGAGGTTTTAATGCGCTCGCAACTGCATAAGGTCATATGAGCGCAAGAAGACCAAAAAATAAATCAATGGTGAAATGGTATAGGTTTTTAAAAAAAGTGTTAGTAGAGGTTTTTCGGCGCTTGTAACTGCATAAGATCATATTATGAGCGCAAGAAGACAAAAAATAAATAATAAATGGTGAAATGGTATAGGGTGGCTTGTTTTAGTAGAGGTTTTACGGCGCTCGCAACTGCATAAGGTCATATAAGCGCAAAAAAATTAGGGGCGTTACAAGAGAGTAACAAACACAAAAAGAAGAAGGGGAGATAGGGATGACAGATGTTTGATAGGAAAGAAGAAGCGAACCACACCAGAGCACCCGCCAACCACTTTCTGGTATAGGTTTAACGCCCCCTATCAACGCTATTAGGTTATTTAAGGGGCGGGGCCTTCTAGTTCAATATCCATCTCCGAAAGGACCGAGCCATGAGGGAAATTCGTGTAAA